CGCAGACCAATTATTCAGCCTTCTCAATCGAGATGACCTCAGTGCACCTTCGGAGACCTTCGTCTTCAAATCAGTGATGCAGTGGATTAAACACAAGAAGGAAGAGAGGATGGCAGTAGCGGCCAAAGTTATCGGAGCTGTTCGTCTGGGGCTGGTGGATATCAGGGTTGTGATTGAAAAACTGAATACAGAGGAAATGAAGCGAGTACCAGAGATCTTCATGCTGGTGTATGAAACGTTGATTAATAACTACATGCCTTCACATAACTCTGCATTTGCAGTGAAGAAAAGTAAACCGCGATCAACAAGTCCGGTAACTAAACTGTTTTCCGTCTGCAAAAAGTTAACTTTATTTTCTTAAGGCAACGAAGTCACGTAATTGAAACGAAAACACAGGTCGAGAAAATCCTAATTCTCGTGAGGTGGCTGTATTGCGTTGCAGTTATTCCATTCTGGTCACACATCTAAACACATGCCTCTGCCCCCCATTCCCCGATCCTCAGGACTTCTTCAAGCACACGTGAGACGCGGCTGGTCCTGCAGCGTCGTGTTCTAGACTCTCCAGGTTACTGGCGCGTGTTATTCCAATTGATGTTTTCCTTTTACATTGTATTTCAGGCTCTGATTGCAGTTCAACCTCAGGCGCAGATGAAGTATTTTGATGTTGAAGCCAAAACATGGAAACCACTGGCATCCGCAATACCGGCAATTGAAGCAACTCAGAGTCACTGTGCAGTCTCTGTTGGTAGCAAGTTGTTTGTTGCTGGGTTTAAGTCCGTAATCAGTTATTACATTTTTCAGTATGATACAGAAAGAAATGTGTGGGAAAAGCTGCCTAGCCCAGATGTTGTAATCAGTAACTTATGTGTTATTGATGATCATATGTATGCAATTAGTGCTGATTCANTCCTCAATAGGTCATTGGACTATTTGTTTTCAATTGATGTTTCCTTTCACATTTTATTTCAGGTTCTGATTGCAGTTCAATCGAACGCGCGGATGCAGTATTTTGACGTTGAAGCCAAAACATGGAAACCATTGGCATCCACAATACCGGCAATTGAGGCAGCTCAGTGTTACTGCGCAGTCTCTGTTGGCAGCAAGTTGTTTGTAGCTGGAATGTACTCAATCAGTTGTTGCATTTTTCAGTATGATACAGAAAAAAATGAATGGGAAAGGCTGCTTCACGCATGTGGTGAAATCAATAACTTGTGTGTTATTGATGATCATATGTATGCAATTAGTGCTGATTCAAATCAGGCTCCTCAAAGATACAGTTTTGCCAAACGTCAATGGCAAAGTATTGCACTAGTAGGTACAAGAGGCAAAAATTATCGCTCCAGCAAAAATGGAGTAATAATGCATTCAAAAGTGTTTGTACTTTATGAAAATAGATCACAGTTGCCATCTGCGATTTTTTGCCCAGCAGTACTAAATTGTTTTGATCCAGTAAAGAATGAATGGAAAGTGAAAGCAGCAACCTGCCACCCTCACTTTGGATCTAGTCTTCTTGTAGTAGACAATAGGCTCTATGTTGCAGGAGGATGTGTTTCAATGAACGTTAATAATTTCGGCCAATACACCAGTTCAAGCGGTAACCCTGCACCTGTTGAAATGTATAATGAGGAAAACAACACTTGGTCTGTTGTTGAACAAAAACACATCCCCTCGAACAACCTTGGTGCAGTGGAAATAGAAGGAAGAGTGTATTTCATAATAAACAATTTCCCAATTGACAGTGGCATAAGAATTGCCCCAGGGGAGTTGTACCCTGTTCCTCTGGGGGAGTGGGAGAATTTAGGAAACATCTATCGTAGTGCAGTCCTGGGTTATTTGCCAGTGAAGCGAGAAAGTTTAAAAACAGAGTGATTGCTTGCTATTGTTAGCAAAATTAATAGAATTCGACACTTCAGAGGTCAAAGTATTTCTATAGTTAAATAGCTTTAATGCAGTATAATGACCTATCTAGATATCTGGACTGT